GGGTCTAATACCCTGACAACATAGTTGTGTAGGGTATAAACACAATTTTGCTTTTGTTAATGAGTAAGGTATATCTTCACAAAAAATGGTATAACAATTTCAGTCCGGCAAACACTTATTCTATTTTTTCAAAAACTTTTAAAAACTATATCATCTAATTGGTACATATTCTTACATCTAATGATTCCTGAATGTCTGACTATATACATACAATTGCTACAACTTTTCTAACATTTAAAACTAACCAAAGCCACACACATTTGAGCAAATCATCAACAACATCCGCTTGCTGTTACCACAAATGTAATCATAATCATAGAGACGAAAACAACGTACTTTATGGCATAGAAGAAAAAAATCACGCCAATATAAAAAGATTTTCAAAAAATAGTTTGGGTGGAAAGAACCTGATCCGTGGAAAAAAATGCAATGAAAAACATTTGAGGCAAACCAAAAGCGAAAACCTCATTCTCACGCTCAATGTGGCTGTTTGGTTGGTTGGCTGTTGTGTATTATGTTCATTTTCCGGGTTGAAACATAAAATAACAGACCAGAGTTGCAATCAATGAGTCCTTTTTATATATTTTTTGGGAGGAAACAGAAAAGGGTTAAACTATGTTCCCCGTTGGTGTTGTTGTTATTATTGTTGTATTGTTGTTGCTATTATTGTATAATAATATTTACAATGACTGCAGTACCATGGAAGAAATAACAACAGCAACAGTTTACGGTAGTCTGAGGTTAAGTTCTGGCAAAGCACCACAGCACACACACACACACTCAGTGAAGAACGCGAACATCAGCTCGTCGCTGTCGTCGTGGTCGAGTAGTTTGGGTCTGGGATTGTACAGCTTTGCGCGTTATGCTGTGTTGTGTAGCGAAGAAGTGGCAGTGGTTGTTACAAAAATGATGACAATAACACTCAAAAGCAATGGTTGTGGCAGTAACAAAATGTTATTTTTTTTTTGTTGGTTTGCTGCATCAGAATAATGGCAACATTTTAAACATTACGTGCTTAAAAATGTAACAACAACAACAGCAGCAGTAGTTTCAGCAGCAACAGCAATACCGTCAGTGGTAACAACCAACCATCGCAGCTGACAAATGGTGGATGCACAATGGGTGTGGAAATGTTGAAGATCGTAGTTTATAAAATTTTCATTTTGTAAATCAAATCGTCAATCCGGGGTTGATATAAACATCATTGCATCTCTATTAATGACAAATTCTACATCAATATAGATTTTATGAAAATGAGAAATATAGAATCATTTTTTGAAATAACGGCACCAATTTTACGGTTTCGATAGTCCGGTTTCGATGGATTAATTAAAATAGCTTCATACATCTACAGTGAGTGTAATAAGTATTTTGCCTCGATACAAATTTGACAAAATTCTAATATATACGCCTAAAACCAGCATACTATAGATGTAAAATGAATTATGTTTGATGGGATATGTTTGTGGACATATTTAGATCTTATTTCTGCAAGAATCACTGCGAAAGACCTATTGGTCTTGAAGATATCGGCCAAAATCTATACCAACCCAAAATGATTATCAGAAAAAAGTAATTTGCTTTTTATTATTATTTTTGAAAAAATCATTATATAACACACGCTTTGTCTTTTTATAGTTACCATTGCGGGTAACCACATACTAAAAGCGATTTGGCGACGATTCCAATAAACCACGACATTTTTTCGCGAATATTTGCTCACATTTACGTTCAATTTATTCTCCAACAATTTTTCATTTAATATTTGTTAATTTCACGTCCTAAACATCCCAAATAACTTTAGAATAATAAAAAGGAGGTTTTGCAAAATATATCGCGAGGACAGGACCCTAAAAACTATTGAAACCAAAATGCGACAAACAAATTATTAAAAAAAAAACTATCGCGGAACCCCATTTTTCAGACTTTGAAAACTTTATGGTCCATTAATATTGATCTAGTAACCAATATATGCAATGAAAATAGCAATAAGGAGGTCAGATTCTAAGATATGAACGGTTTATTTCGAAAATAAATAGATCGCCCAGTTTATTCGCTGCTGTATTTTATTCGCAACTGATAGTGTTAAATGGATCTAAAATATTGACTGCGTATTCATCACCAGCTACCACAGTTTTTTAAAACGCAATAATATTTGACGTAGAATGATGTTTTCTCCCAACTTCATGCACTGTTTTGTAGTTTCTGTTGTTTTAGAACTGTTCATTTCTTTGAATCTGACCTCCTTATTGCTATTTTCATCGCATATATTGGTTCCTAGATCAATATTAATGGACCATAAAGTTTTAATAGTCTGAAAAATGGGGTTTCGCGATATTTTTTTAAACAATTTGTTTGTCGGATTTTGGTTTCAATAGTTTTTAGGGTCCTGTCCTCGCGATATATTTTGCAAAACCTCCTTTTTATTAATCTAAACTTATTTGGGATGTTTTGAAGCCGCGACGACTATATCTAATACCCTCATTTTGAAATTAGGACGTGGAATTACCAAATATTAAATGAAAAATTGCTGGAGAATGTATTGAACGTAAATGTGAGAAAATATTCGCGAAAAAATGCAGTGGTTTATTGGAATTGTCGCCAAATCGCTTTTAGTATGTGGTTACCCGCAATGGTAACTATAAAAAGACAAAGCGTGTTTTATATAATGATTTTTTTAAAAATAATAATTAAAAACAAAATACTTTTTTGTGATAATCATTTTTGGGTTGGTATAGATTTTTGCCTATAACTTCGAGACCAGTAGGTCTTTCGCAGTGGATCTTGCAGAAATAAGATCTAAATATGTCCACAAACATATCCCATCATACATAATTAATTTTATATCTTTAGTATGCTGGTTTTAGGCGTATATATTAGAATTTTGTCAAATTTGTATCGAGGCAAAATACTTATTACACTCACCGTATATACAGGGTAAGATGAAGAAACTGAAACCAACTTCAGACTTCTGTCATTTCTAAGCTACTCGTCCGACAGCTTTCAAAATTATTCCAGTGACAGCTCATTATATTGTTTACAAGCGTACAAAATCATTTTGGTGAGAATATTCCAGAAAAAAAATTATTCGTGATGGAATTCAAGTGTTATAGTGTGATTTCTTTATATTTGGCTGGAAAACCACAAGTGGCTATCGTTAGAGCACTCCATCATTTAAATGTGGGCAAAATCTTTTGTGTCTCGTACGGAAGAAAACAGCAACATCAGCACAAATGGTTTGAAAAGTAAAGAAGCGACTTGATCGAAACCCGCGTCGCAGTGGCCGAAAAAATGGCTCGTGAGCTGAACATATCGCAATATTTCATTCGGCAAAGATTGAAAAATGAGCTCGGGGCAAGAACTTGCACCGCAACAGAAAGAAAATAGACTCAAAAGAGCTAAAGAGTTGCTTCGCTTGGCCGAAAGTGGTGAACTGCCGAATTTGATTTTCTCCGATGAGAAAACATTCGTTGATCAACATTCGGGCAGCGTGTGAAGGTTTCATTGGTCATTGGCCATAATTCGTGCCAAAGGTGACCAATTCGATCAAATTTAAACTTATTCTTTAATTTGATGATATTTCCGAAATTTTTGCTTTCATTCAATAAAATTAAAAAAAAAAAAAATAAAAATTTGTTGTAGTTTTTATACGCTACACAACTATGTTGCCAGGGTATTACAACTTTGTGCAGCCCCAAGAGTTTGTAACGCCGCGAAATATTGGTCCTAGACCCATCTTTAAGTATACCGATCGTCATATCTCTACCAGCTGAATCGATCTAGACATGTGTGTCCGTCCGTCTGTCCATTATAATTTGTAAATACGATACAGGCTACAGTTATGGACCAATCTTCACGAAATTTTGCATGTAGGATGGGTTCTGTCCAATGAAGACCTCTATTGTTTTTTTGAAAAGATCGGTTAATATTTAGGGGATGAAATGGACCAAAAACATTATTTTTGTCTAATTTTTGGTCGCTCCAGAGTCCGCAATTATGGCCTAAACATAGCGAATTTTTGCATGGAGAAGGCGATCGGGCCAAATAATAGCATGCCTGTTTTGATAAAAATCGGTCAATATTTAGCGGATCAAATGGACCCTGACTTTTGTATTTTTGACATATATATTTCCTCCTGAAGGATATAGACCCGATAAATTGATAGTATATCAAAGAAGAGTTTCAAAGCTGACTTTGAACAACATTTCATCCCCATTGTGCAACAATGACTATGACAACGATACGACATTACGAAAAATGAACAACATTTTCAGCTAACGCCACAAAAAGAAATGGCCAAAGATATAGTTAAACTTTTAACGGATCTGTATCATTGAAGCCCGTGTTGTTGCCAAACTGTGGTTCTTGTAGCTGGTGATGATTACGATGATATTTCTAGCTTTCTCTGGGTTCACTCACTCATGCATTCCTGTTTATACAAAACGCACACACACACATATACTCATTCAAATTCACCATTACTCTTACGACTTAAAAAAATGAAAACGGATGTTGGAGAAAAAAACCCCAAAATTTTTCCACATAAAAATGTTAAACTGTCTGCTGAAAGATGGAGTAAAGCACACAACACTACAACATATTATCCTCAGACAAAACGCAACGAGGACGAGTTGTTGGAACGTCAAAAAAACTTAAGCGGAACGTTTTATAAGTTGAAAATCTGTTCTTCCCATACCTTCTCATTTTCGCTTCGACCACAAATGAACGCAAAATGATGGGTAAAAGGGCTATACAAGGACTTCCAAGAACAATTCAACTTAACTGAAAAAGCCAGCCAGCCATCCAACTAACCAACAACCAAGAAACATGTTTATTGTTGCCTTTTTCGGCGTTCGGCTCGTTGCTGGATTTAAAGAGTATTGTATTGTTGTTGTTATATCCTTATGATAAAAACGTATGTTCTTGGCGAGCTGATGATGATGATGGAAATAAAAATATGACTGTAATGATGGAAGGAGGGTGGGCTTTGGAGTACTTACATTGTGCTCGTTCGAACTAAAATGGGTTGACCAAAGAATGCCGGCACATTTTCATCCATTAGTGAATGTGTTTTGATGAAATTTAATGTTGGATCCGGTAGAGTTCTTGAATCATTGTGGCATGAGCCAGGACGTGGTTCGGGTACCTGAAAATAATGTAAAATAAAAAAAAAATTATATGTGTGTATTATTTAGTAAGAAGAATATACAAGACGTTACAAATGTAATTATCGTACATTTTAATACTACAACAATCGCCTTAATTTATTATTAAACTTATGAATGAACGAATGTAATCCTCTTATTCGAGCGTCAAACCATATCCATTTTCAAGAAGATTTAAATTTTCAGTTGACATCACATACAGTGCCACTTTCAGATTTGTGTCCTTTCCTGGTAGTTTTTGATGTTCATTTGTATCCAAAAAAAAGAGAATGCTGACAAATATGCTCTGATATCAATTCTATAGTGGCTCGAATAATTTTCTTCTGCATTCTTTTGCCGGTGGTGCATATTTATGGCATGTCTTGTCATGCTTTCCCAATTTCCCTTTTGTCTACCTCTTCATTCAGCATTTTTCCATACACTAGAATTATGGGTCCTTTGTTTTTCATAAACTTTTTTTTGGTATGTCTACTGCTTTTCTTTTTTTTTGGAATGGGCGTGGCGTTTGACTGTTTATATGTATGTTGAGTTGTTAATGCTGTCTGTACTCAGTTTCCATTTTCCTCTTTTTTATTTATGTTTTTTCCATTTTTTTTGGTTAAAATATCAAGAGGCCATGTGTAGATTTGTAGGGAACCACTTGATTTATATTTATGAGTATCATGAAGAGTCGGTGTCACAGCACACCATACAGCAAAAAAGACAATGAAATGGATGGATGGGTATGAACCAGGGCATAAGAGTAAATTTATTTTGTATTTATAACCAAAAAAAATATATATTGTCATAAAAGGTAGAAATTGTCACTTTTAGCAATTTTTGTTATTTCTTATGCTGGAGAGAAAAAAATGACTCTGGCTGTAAAATGTACGTGATTGAAATCCCTAAATAGAAATGTGATAAAAATCATCTAACAAATGCTTTTTGGGTTTGTATTTTATTCTCTACACAATACGTGAAAGGGTATTATAATTTTTTGTTGTTGTGAAACTGAATGTCATAAAGTGTTTTATTTTCAGCAAGTTCGAAGGATCCACAATTGTCCTTTCGACGTTCTAAATATGTAATGCTGTATGTGTGGGACACTATGTATACTCTCAGTTCAATGGCTAAAGTATAAATTATGTGGTAACATCATAAATGGAGACAACGATTGAGGCCCAAATAAATAGTGTCTTCAGAAACTATTTTTAGAAAGAAAAGTTACTGTCGGAAGCTAAATTAATAAAAGCCAATGGTAAATGCTTCAGCATTTAGGAAGCTGATTCGAATCCTATGAATCCCATTTGATATTGATAAATGAAGGTTCCGCTCGATTTTGCCTATTTAGAAAATCTTAGAATAAAATTTCCAAACACAGTCATTTTTGTGTAGTTAATATCTTAACATATAATTGAAACGGTACTATTTGGGATGTTGAGTTTGCTACGGATAGGTCTAGTCATGCTCGAGTTTGAAGGTTCTCGTATTTCAACGAATTGGATTGACTCTGGAAATGGAAAAATGAGCCCCGCTTTTTTCCTTGTCAATAATACAACAATTTTTAAACGTAAGAATTAATGCAATTATAAATAGGTCTCAGAAAAAGGTCTGATATGCGAGGATAAAATGTTAAGGACGCCTTAAGGAACAATTTTCCAACGGTAGCTAAGTTCTTCCACAGTTCCTTCCTCGATAAATTTGTACTACATATTGAACGATTATTATAACCAATAAGACTATGATGAATATATTAAAACGGAATTGAAAGAAGTACGGGTTTGGCCTATTAAAACATACTGTAGGTGTTTCTTGTAGGAACAGGAATTGTAGAGGATATTTTAGGGAAACCTTTTTCTTCCAAAAGTTATCTCCTCGAACCACTCTTTGTGGTTGAAAACCCTTTAATAAACGTACATGTTCTAGTCAAGGCCAAAGTCAAAAATTTCGAATTTTTTACTATTATACCTTATTGTAGAGGGCTAACATGTGAGGATGAAATGTTAAGGACATCATAAGGATCAATTTTTCCAGCGGTAGCTAAGTTCTGCCATTAATCTTTTTTCGAGAAATTTGCAACATATTTTGAATAAATATTATAACAAAGAAAATATGAATTTATTAAAAACAATCTCACAGAAGTGCGAGTTTGAACCATTAAATCTCGATTTAGCTTTTTTTAGTGAGAGTACAAAATAAAGAGGACATATTGAAGAACATTTCTTCTTCGATAAGCCAAACTCTAACTCCATTATTTGTTAGGAAAAATGCGCTTACAAATTATATAATTAATACAAATGATTAAGTAGTACATTTTGATGATACCAAGCCAAACATAATTCGGTTCCATTTTAAATCAAACTCATTATACAGGTATTTTATAGAAGAATGAAATCTAGGAGACACCTTGGTTAATATTTTTTATTTGGGGAACTTTATTCCTTTACCACTCCATTTCCAATAAATTAAGCCTTCAAAACAAACTATATTTAAAATTCAACTGAAATTTATATAGAATTTAAACGTCAAAATTTTATATAACCATTGTATGGATATATCAAATTATGACGTCGCTACATCCTTTCTTTCGGAAAAACTTTGCACCTAATATGTTTGGTTTGTGCCTCATAAAATTAGTGCTAGTAAAACTTAAAACTTTGCACCTAATATGTTTGGTTTGTGCCTCTCTACTGATTCGAGAATTATGCTTTTATAATTTGCAGACGTTTTCCGGTCTAACAACTTATCGCGATGAAAATAGTGTATTAAATGAATAAATCAAATTAATATTGGACAAATCACGACCTTTTTGGATTGCAAACATTCAGATCGAAACAACTTTTTATATACCGTGAAAAAATTCAATATATTGCTACTGATCTGTTACTTCTGCCCTTTTGATAAGTAACTCAAAACATTAGACAATTATTACTGTATTCCAATACATTTCATTTGTAATTCGATTATTCCATTTGTAACATATTTTATTTAAATTGTAATTTATTACATCATATTTGACATTCAATTTATTTGATTCGTAATTCCAAACATAGTAAAAAACGGAATGATATGTTTTGAATTTAAAATGCAATTCATTGAAATATTAATGAAATCATTTGAACTTCAAGGGAACATTTTTTAAACCTTCGACAAAAAAGTTTTGAAATTCAAATGGAAATTCCGAATTTAAAAATAAATCTTTGAAATTTAAACTGAAATGTTTTAAAGAACACCTGAAAAAGTGTGATTACCGAAAAAATACAGAAATTTTTAAAGTTTAGATTAATATCCCAAGAATTAGTAAAAACAAATATTTGAATTTTAATTTATATGTAATTAAATATGTTCCTAATTAACACCTGGCATTTCAAAGGCTTCTTTGCACGTACATTTTCGTTCTAAATACATCAGTTTCTGGTAACATTCGGCTGGCTACTGCATGTGTATGTGTGAGTACATATGCAAAAGGAACTTTTAATTAACTTTGACCTACATTTGAAGTACTGCAGCAAACTGCCACTTTATAAATAAATAAATATCTCGAACGCTTACACCATATCAGTAGGTATAAGCGTATGAAACAGAAATGGCTTAAATAAAATTTAACATGGATTTTACTACGTTTGTGAATACGATTATATGGCTCATTCAAGGTATTGTAATATATTAACTGTATAGAGTGAAATTATTGTTGGCATAGTCGACAATTTAATACCATGTAATTCAATTTGAAATATTGTCAATGCAATACGTCACTTTTAGGCTCCATTTAGTACCTATGCTACCTCAGACGCAAATATATATGATAGCTATATATAAAACTCATCTATATAATCTGTTATCACCAATAGTGTTCGTCATTTGGTCAATAAAATAAGTTGTTCAAAAATAAATATGCAATGATATTACCACGCACAAAAAAAAAAACGTTAACGGATGCGAGAATTTTTTTAAACATGTCTAACAGAAGCCTAAACTTTTAGTACCGTTTAGGTCCTTTGTTATCTTATAGTACGTATTTCCAAAACATCCTCCATATCTCAATACTACACACAAGCAGTGACCCCATACTCCAAATTTCAGGATTCTAGCACTATTGGTTCACCAAAAATATTTAGTACGAATTTCCAAAACTTCTTTCATAGCTCATTCACTGTTGTGTGTAGCAAAACAGTGATCCTAACACAAATCTAGTTCTATACTCATTTTGGTACCATTTATTACCTTTCTTTCTCTTGCAGTACATATTTCCAAAACTAACTCAAAATTGCATGATTCGGGCTCTATAGGTTCACCCAAATCTTAAGTTTACCAATTTTAGTAATCTTAGTATAAATCCAATAGAAATCATATTTCCCAATTTCAGCCCGATAGCTACACCCAAATATAATTGTACCAAATTTAGTGTCATTTAGAAGACATTAGTATGAATTTCCAAAACTTCCTACATCCTAACAATGGTCCCAACTCCAAATTTCAGGATCCCAGTTCTATCGGTTAACCCAACAATCAAATTGTACAAAATACTGTGCTATTTAGTAGCAATAAATATGAATTTCCAACTACATCCATACCCCAATCCTAAAATCCAACATTAACCTTATTTCCAAAATTCAGTGTTCCAGCTCAATTGGTTCACCAAAATACATATTTGGTACAATTTACAACACATTAGTACACATTTCCAAAACTTCCCACATACCCCAATTCTATACCCCAACAGTGACACCAAACTCCAAATTTCAGGATTAAAGTTCTATCGGTTCACCCAAAATATTAATTGTACCAAATTTAGTACGAATTTCTTCAAAATTCTTTCATAGTACATTCACTGTTGTGTGTAGCAACAGTGATCCTAACTTTCAAGATTATAGCTCTATCTATTCAAAATTCGTAACATTTAGTATACATTAGTACGAATTTCCAAAACTTCTTACATAGTTCAATCCTAAACCTCAACAGCGATCCTCATTAAAATTTCAATATTCCAATTCTATTGCTTAACTTAAAATAATTTAGTACACTTTAGTACAAATTTCCGAAACTTCCTACATCGGTTCACCCAAATCCAAATTGTACCAATTATTATTATTGATTCACATTCGAAATTTCAAGTTTTTAGATCTATTCGTTCACATGCTTCGAAATTGTACCAAATTTCGTACATTTTAGTATTTTTCGGATACATATAATTCCAAAAAATTGTTTGCTTCATCTATTCTACACTCCATCGGTGACCCTCGTTCCAAGTTCTAGCTCTACTGGTTCGCGAAATACTAATGGTACCACATGTAGTATTTTTCGTTCCGTTCTTGTACGAATTTCCAAATACCCAAATACCTTATATGACACCTTTGGATAAAGATTGACCTTACCCAAAGTTTCATGATTCTAGCATCTGTCGTTTCAATTCTCGCTACAGTTACTCAATCAGTCAATACATGACATTAAATATTAATGCGAATATTCAAATTTATATACACAAGTTGGATAGGTTCGTCAATCGTTTTAAGAAAAACGGATTTATCAGTATCAAATAAATCGGTGTGGGTCTCATATGTAAATGTGTTAAATACTATTCAGTTCAATGAAATTGTAAGTAGCCCACAAGATATAGCGATGTAGCAAATTGGATTAAATTGTTGAGGAGATTGTAAAGAATTCACAATGTTATTCTTCTTACCCTGGCATTATTGACCGGCAGCCAATTAGAGTTGATACCACTTTGTTCTTTGAAATTGCCTTCAAATGTATCCGCAATATCCTGCAGACGAAAAAGAAAGGAGTAAAGAAAGATATTGAATGGAAAGGAGTAAAGAAGAAATGCAAAACAAAAAAAGAAAATATACACAAAAAATTGCTTTAATAAATTTAATGGATGTCTTTGCCTCCCTCAAACCCTACAATATCTGGCTGCTTTTCAAACCAAAGTCGGCCCACAAAATACACACACACTCACTTACTTATATATAAGCATACCAAAGCTCGGCCGTTAAAAGGGATAAATAAAAGATTTTGTATGTTGTTTTTTGTTCAGCTTTTTCTTCTTTTTTGGTGGCGGCAGCAGCAGCTTACCATGAAAACGGACTAAAGTAATTTCAATTTTGGTCATATTATGTGAGTGTGTTTGTATATATGGCGTATAACGGAACCAAAACCAGATACCATGGTGAGAGAAAGCGAGCGAGTGAGGTTATAAACAACGGCAATAAATGTTGAACTTACCTGCAATGAAAATGCACAAACTGCTGAGCCAGGAATTGAATTTGTTGGTGTATTAAAAACGCCATAAATCAATTTGGCGCTTGAGTGACCATAATGTCCTTCGACAAGATTACTAGCAGATTCTGCGAAAAAAAAACGAATTAAACAAACAACCACAACAAAATTATATTAGAGTAAAAGACAGACAACTTTTGGGGGAAATATTCCAAGAATTTCCATTAATATAAGAAAATGATATATAAAAATAACAACAACAAGAACTCTGTATACATAATAACATTCTACAGAATTCTGAGTGGGAAAACTCTTATTTCTCCATTTGATACTTACGTATTTCATTGAAATAGAATGGAAAATCGCCAGGTATTGAACAATTTAAACGTGACTTCAAAAACGACGTCCAACGATTGCGAAAACGATGTGGTCCACCTTTGTCCCATTTGCAAACACGAGCTACACGCGAAAATATTGACTGTAAAACGAGAAGCAGAATGCAAAAGGTATGAAGAAGAACAGAAAGTTAGTCGGATGTAGCAAGTAATTAATCATTATTTATAGGAAATTCATGTAAAACGAACAGAAAAAAGGAAAAGTGTGGGTAGGGAAAAGGAAATACAAATACGACACAGGAAGTCCCTAAAGTTTTTTTACTTCGTTAATGCTGTTAAAAATGTTTGGTATTCTATATTTTTCTTAGGTGAAAAAACGAGTTGGGGTGTGAGATTTTATGGTCAGAGGGAATTTATTTTTTTGGCTTAAGGGTTTCGAAAATTCGATACACCTTTTGGTTGTAGATGTTTAATGTTACAAAATTTTGTAATATAAAATGAATTGGAAAAAGAAGGATTATTGTATAATTGGTTTAGATTTTTGATTTTTAGTAAACTATTCAAGGTCAAAACATTTTTACTGTTTTACATTTAAATATTTTATTTTATTCTAATATCTTATTTTGATATTAAAATAATAATAACACGATTTAAAGGATGATTATTTTAATTGTGTACACTATTAGGAAAAACATGAATTAAATAAAATGATTATAATTTTTACTTACTTTTCCGCAATTTATGAATTCCACAGCCGTTTCACGAAACATAAAATATACAAAGTCTCCTTGTGTAAAAGAGCTGACAAAATTTGGTGCTGAAAGGGGGAGAAAAGAATAGTTAGAACATAAGGAAAGAAACTGCAAAAATATAAACTATAATTTGTTACTTATAAGACATTATATCAAAAATTACTTATAAGTCCTTATATTGAACATTCAAAATACATAATGTCGATTAGCAGCGTTATAAACGAAAAGTTCACACCACACTGTGAGATATTAGTGCCATATTTGTTTCAAAATGCTGCTGGAATTTTTAAAACCCAACCCTCAAACCCAGGAAACCAATTTTATGGCAATTTCAGGTAGTGTGGAAAAATAGTTATATATTTCAAATCTGGAGACCTTGAGACTTAAGCCAGTAAAATTGTATATCATTGTGGGTCACGGTTTACAAATGACATGAGTTCAAATCAAAATTTCATATTTTCGAGAATATAATTTATACTTGAAAATTGACGGTCAATTAAACTGATGGAACTGGTGTTTATAATGAAGGTGAAAATTATTAGTTTTTGAAGACGCCTTGCTTGATATGTCCTCTGTCCAGAATTTTACGACAGTCTTCGACCGTTCATAAACATAGTAATTACTGCCGAAAATATAAAAATAGTCGTTAAAAATAACATGTAAAAATTTAATAAAAAAAATTAGCATTTTGGTGGTAAAATTGAAAGACATTAGTCTCACAACGTCCACTTTTTAGGGTAACCCTCGATATATTTCGTTATTTCAACTATGAGATACACACTCAAAATACGTAAAATCATTCGGCACTTTTATATGAATGCTATGACATGCTAATTGATTTCAGTGAAAAACGTAATATCAAACTACAGACTTTCGGGATGGAAATTTATTCGAAAAAATACACAAAAAGTTAGGGTAGCGTTATATAGGGGCTTTTCAAATCCTGGACAGATATTTATCATTTTTATACCCTTCACCACATTGTGTTACAGGGTATTATGTCTTTGTGCATATGTTTGTAACAGGCAAAAGGAAACGAGATAGACACATGGTTCCATTTGAGAATATGCATAAATCACTTTCTTAGTCGATTTATGCATGTCCGTCAGTCCGTCCGTCTGTAGATGTTAAATTGTAAACAAAGTACAAGTCGCAGTTATGATCCGATTTGGATCATATTTGGCACAAGTCACATATTTGGCCCAAGGACGAACCTTGTTGAAATTGGGAAAAATCGGTTCAGATTTAGATATACCTCCCATTATATTTTCACCAAAGTCTTTTGATTTGCACGAAATTTGGCATAGAATACTGAATTAGGTCCAGAATGATATGTGCAAAGTTTTGTCCGATTATATGTAAATGTTGCACCAAAGTCCATATATATCCTTCGATTTGCACGAAATTTGGCACAGCGTAATGAATTAGGTCTACAAAGATGTATGCCCAGTTTCGAGAAAATCAGTTCAGATTTATATATAGCTCCCATATATATTTTCGTCCGATTTAAGGTAAATGTGGCACCAAAGTTCCTATATATCTTTTGATTTGCACGAAATTTTGCATAGAGTACTGAATTGGGTCCAGAATGATGTGTGGTAAGTTTCGTGAAAATCGGTTCAGATTTAGATATAGCTTCCCAAAGATTGGCCGACCGGCACACAATTTTGTACAATGTGCTGAAGTTACTATAACCTTTCGTGTGTCAGGTTTTCTTGGAATTGGTTCAGATTTATATATATATATATATATACGATTGACAAAACGTACTAAAATTAATAAAAATTAATATCTAGCAAGTTTCCTTAAAATAGGTTCAGATTTAGATATAACATAGCTTCCATATATAATTTCGACCTATTCATGTTGATTGTACACCAAATAATCAATGAGCGCCTGATTGATACATTTTCAACAGTGAAGCATACCAAATAGCGTGTGTAAAGTTTGCTTTAAATCTATTTACAAAGTATGGAATAGGTTGCAGAATGGCATGTGTTGGAATTGATGTTAGTCGGTTTGCTTATATAAAGATCGCATATTTAAGTTCGTTCAATTTCATGTCAATGTTCCTTTGAAAGGCGACGTCTGTTAGGATACATATGTAGAATAACCCCAAAGTGATGAAGGGTATCATATAGTCATATAGGAAGCTACCCAAAAATTGTTTTAGTAGTAAAATGTAATACTCAATAGGAACTTAAACTACCTACTTATCTTAAATATTTCGAGCTATTATATTAAATAATTATACTTCCTGGGGTCTGGTGAATTTAATATGCACTGCACCTTATGATGGAAAGTATAAAAAAGGAGCGTTGTGTATAATTCTGAATATCGAATTTGACTACTTTAACACCGTTGAAATATTTTTAAAATCTGAGTTGAAATTCATCATCACTTTCGGACTGAAGAAATCAAATTTAAGGAAATTTTTTGATTTTGAATTATTATAATTAAAATCAAAAAATGTTTATCCAATGTTAAATTTTCCATTTAAATGCCTCACATAATAACAAATCAAAATAACAAATATGTATGTTGCGTGCTAAACGTTAATAGTGAACATAAATATTATTTTGTGTTTATCTTACAGGGAGATAACGACATGAATAGTCAAACAACAATAAATTAATATATCAAACAAATTATTACCCACTCTCTTTGGTGTCTGGACATAAAACACATACACGCACGCAACCCACTCCCAATTATTCTTCACATCGTCCATACTATACCGAATCATCATGTATATACTTAGTAATTATTTTGGGGTTCATTGGATCAATTTTGACAATAAATTTAATTTATATTTACCATCATAGATTTTTATCTACAATAAGGAAAAATAATTACGCCCTATATACATGTTTTGCTTCCTTTTTTCATTATGTTTAGGTTAAAAGGTTAACCAAACATGATAATAGAATGTGTAAATTAATAATATAGAGAGTTTACATCAAGGAATGAAATGTGAATGAAAATGAATATTTCTTTTCAAGAAAACAAATGTAAAATTTAAGTGGAAAGTCAAAATGAAGAGAATTTAATAGAAAATTAATGCGTATATAATTGTTGAAGTTAAGGGAAACTAATGTGTCTCAGCATATCTGGGGATACAACCAACGAACTTATAACACTAGGTGTGCTGGGCGGTATCGTATACCAAACTGATCCAATTGAAAAAATCTCCTGTAATAGATGAAACAAGACTAGCTCTTTTATTCTCATGAGGGCTTTGAAATACTATCCCCCAGTTGCCAATTTATCAAAAATCGATATCTGATCCGAACATTTACATTTTCCTACATTCAACTTAAGATTACGTATTAAGATTAATATTAAGTGGGCAGAAAATTCAAAGAAGAAAATTCACGAGAAGGTCTTCTTCAAGGAAGTACCGGAATGTCGGACAAAAAAATATTCTATAACATGGGACTGAGCAAAGAACTTTGTTGAACACCAGCAAAAAGAAGGTGATGGCTAGAAAGCCGATCCCCCACCCTCATACTAATGATGCGACCTCTAATGGAATTGACGACTATTCTCCAATTTTGACAGTCAAAGCTAAACGTCTCGAATTTAAACAAAATTCCATCGTGTCAGACTGACCGGCGACACAGGCATAGTTTCATACTTCCTATCAAAACCTCGTCCAACGCCACCTGTCCTTCTAATCATGGCCAGGATTCGAATAACTTCTCGAATGACTGGACATTTATCATAAATTCCGACAGTAATTCAAATTAATGGTGAAGAAGGTGAAAACTACGTTACCTGCCCTTTTCAACGTCACATCTGGGAAGTTGGAATTTGCTCGACATACCTTAAAAATGTCAAATTATTGTCACTTTAATAATGAAATGCAACTAGTGCCTCTGAACATTTTTTGTGATAATGCAGTTTACCCTCCGCTAAGCTGAAATGGCTGACATTCTTCAAAAAGAAAATAAAAAATAGGGTTGGATCTTCAAAATTATCGAGAATCCCAAATGATCGCCACATAATTAGGCGACAGTCCAGAGATTTTTTCATCAAAATCTTAGTTTAACTCTTAAATATTTTTTATTAATCAAAAACTATTTTTGAATAAGTTTTGCCATGAAGCTAGGAATATGATACGATTGTTTTCTAGCAGTGTTATTGTAATTTTTGTTGTGCTTTTAATAGTCAAATGAATTAAACAAATTAATATATCTAATAATAAAAAAAATTTAATTACAAAGGGGTCATGGAAAAATGTATCTACAATTCAATCATTTTCTTATTTTATTTTCCTATCGAATTTTATGAAACGTTTTTGTTATGTTGCCATATATGAACAAACCCCCAGCATTATTCGTCTAATAAATTGTTAAAAAATCGTATATCCCTGTACATAAATATAATAATATGCTATCATAAATATTAACTAAATCTAGCAACGATATTATATCTCACAAACTCAGCAAAACAATCGCAGCTACTAAACAACTAAAATCTGTTTAGTTTCCCGTCAAATGTCATTGTCGAACGAACCATCAAACTTATTGGAAGTTTTCTATCAATGTCAAAAAAAAAGTTTTCTATTTCACAAAATCCCAATACCACCCACACCCACAGTGAGTGCCTGCCTACAGACAAATGACTAAAGGAAACCGACCAAATCTACTAACCTAGCTAAGCTAATACTGGAGGTCTCCTTCAAATAGAATGACGACAGACAAACATTCAAACATAGAATAGAGTTTGGCTGAAGGTAGTTTTGATTTGTGTTATTATAAACGAGCAAATAGTATTGTTATATAACTTGTATAAAAAATTGACAGCATTATGAAAATAACTAAAGTTTGAGTCTAGTCATTGATGTGCTGGTTGGTTGGTTGGTGTAGTGGCTTGTGTAAATAAACAATGAAAATATGATGGGTGGTATAAAAATAGAATAGAATGGCATAGAATCAAAGCAACGATAGCAATTTAATATACAAAAGGACTATAAGATATGCTCACTCAGCCAAGCTATATCTCTGACAAGCTAGTCAAAGTGATAAAACTATTATTTAGAAGGTGGTAATGCCATAAGACTAGTATGTATGTTGTTGTTTTTTTATTATTATTTTTATTTGTACTTGACCAGTGATAGATGGCTTTTGTATAATCGAGCATACATGTTTGACATGACTATACTAAGGCTATGACAATAAAAATATAGAGTAGTTATAATAAATAATAAGGAAACAAAATATTGAATAAGAGTGTTTAGGTTGCTTTTCCAGATGTCGCATTGTTTATTGTTTTAAAGGTTACACATATGTATGTATATTTAAACGTTTTCAATAGGTGGAAACAGGTTAATAACTGTTGTTTATGTGTTTGTAAAACAACAACATTTGAAAATAAAATGTTTAATTTAATGATTGTAAAAAAAATGTTGTGTAATATAAACTACTAATTAAAGTTATTATCTTTATTGTTTAACTGTCTAGGTATAAGTAAATGTTAAGTGGGTTTTTGATTCGTTTTCATGTTAAGGGGAAAATAATATAAAGAATGCAAGAAAAATATTTATATGTTTTGTAAATATTGTGATCCAATATAAGAAAAAAATAAAGAAACAATCGATCTAAACGCTCTTTCACAGATATTATTATTAGTTCAACTGCAGGATCAATTGTTACCCAAATGATGGCTCAAAATAAAGCTATGTTGGAGAAGGTTATTTCGAGCAATAATAAACCTTTCGTGGTACCATCTTTCAAGAGCTTAATTCTTGAAACAGATCAATGGCCAACATACCGATTTCCATTGGATCATCATATCGAAGCATGCTCTATAATATGTGAAGAAACGAAGCGTTCCTGTTTCCTTAGCTGGATCGGGCCTGACACATTAGAATTATTGCAAAAACATACAATGAATTAATTGAAGCATCGGATACATATTTTTTAAGTAAACAACATATTTTGGCAGCCAGATTTAAGTTCTATAATCAGACGCGAATGAAGGAGAATCAAAAGTATGTAGATTGGGTTGCAGATTTAAGAGGCGCTGCCAGAGAATGTTATTTTGTGTGTGAAAATAAAGGCTGCAAACAATCGTACGTCGATAATAAGATTAGAGGTCGTTTTATATACTCCGCATGAGAAGGTCCGAACAGCATGTCTGCAGAAATAAAATCCGTCGTTAGAAGAAGTTTTGCAAATTTGTTCAATTTTTGAAGCAACTCTCAAGACGTCTAGTGAAATAGTAGACTCAAAGGATTCGGAAAATGAAGTTCATGCTGCCAACCGTTACAATATCACACAAAATAAGTCAAACAAAATGAACTTTTCAAGGAAATTGCAATCTTGCCCTGGCTGTGGTAAAGCACATCAAAGAGAGGAATGCTATCATTTCAAGAACAGGACAAAATGCAATAAGTAATCAAAGTTTGGGCATATATGTCAGTCTCAAGATAAACCGGATAAAAATATGGAAGATTTCCGTTCATTTATAATATGAAATTACAAATTATTGTTAATAACTTCAAAATATTGAATATTAGATATCTGGTATGATTTTTCAAATTCTATTGGATGTATTCTTTCATCAATAGGAAATTGGCAATCGCAAATTACAGCAACTTCAGTTAAACTTGGATTTCCAAATATTTCAAATCTGGCTGTATCAATATCTAGGTGAGGTTGTATTAAATTCCATGCGGCATAGGTAAATGGTCGCGGTCACTACTCAACGATACACTACAATTTATTTGAATGAAGCCTAAGGAGAATTTAAAATAAATAGAAGAAATATTATTGACGATGAGACATCCCACATTCCGGCTCAAGTCAGAACATTTTTACCGGCACAACCTTGGAATAGATGGGTCATTCTGTGTACAGCCTTTATATGACACCCAATGGCATGGTTAGCGATTTTTGTCGCCAAAGGAAATGTCTGAATTATCCTCTACGATGGATACGGTATGGATATTCCATAATCCAAGGCATGAAAGTATGGCATTTATGATTGTCTGGGAAGGGAGTTCCGTTCACCACTATAATCCATATAACCTCACCTATTGTTGTTTAACTCATAATAATGTAACTACAATACATATACAAATGCGTTCAAAAGTCCCGAGAATCCACATAACCTACTCTATTGTTGTTTTATTAGAAGGAAGGAAAAAGGAGACATTATGAAATAAGAGATGGACAATTGCACCTTGGCCAGGAGAGGTAGAACTCTAGAGCTTAATATTGGTAATCATTTTCTTCCTATAAATAGAAATGTAAATGTAGCCGAAATACATTCTTGTATTGAAGGACTTACCTCCACCTTTCAAAACGCAATTAAGTCGTCAGTACCAAAAATGAAATGCCGTAGCCCACTACTAGGAGAATTGCCACGTAATATCATTCGTTTCATACAAGAACGTAAAAGGATGAAATTTACCTTGCGAAGAACATTAGATCAGGGCAGATATGCAGTATTAAAAGCTGACATCCGGAATCTTACAGCAATCATAAATAAATTACTCTCCATTTTGAAAGAGAAACATACAAAGCATACCTGGAGGGCATTGAAGTAATCAGATTTGGTGAAACTTGGTACAGCTCATTTGTTTGGCCCAAGGACGAACCCTATTGCATTTGGGGAAAATCGGTTCAGTTTTGATATAGCTCCCATATATATTTTCGTCCGATTTTATGTAAATGGAACACCAAAGTCCCTATATATTTTTTGATTTGCACGAAATTTGGCACAACGTATTGAATTAAGTCTAGAGTGATGTGTGCTAAGTTTCGTGAAGATCGGTTCAGATTTAGATATAGGTCCCATATATAGTTTCGTCCGATTTTATGCAAATGGTGCACCAAAGCCCCTATATATCTTTCGATTTGCACGAAATTTGGCACAGCGTACTGAATTAAGTCTAGAGTGATGTGTGCTAAGTTTCGTGAAGATCGGTTCAGATTTAGATATAGGTCTCATATATAGTTTCGTCCGATTTTATGCAAATGGTGCACCAAAGTCTCCCTATATATTTCGATTTGCACAAAATTTGGCATAGCGTATTGCATTGATTCTAAAATGATGTCTGCTAAGCCTCGTAATAATCGGTTCAGATTTAGATATAGTTCCCATATATTTAGTTAGATTTTAACTAAACTGCGTCTAGAATGATGTGTGTTAAATATCGTGAAAATCGGTTCAGATTTAGATATAGCTCCCATTTATATTTTCTTTCGATTTTATGTAAAGTGTGTTTGTACGATTGACACACATTTTTTTGAAATCGGTTCAGATTTAGATATAGCTCTCATTTGTATTTTCGTTAGAGTTTAGGTAAATGTTGCACCGGTTGACACGAAACGTATCAAATTGAGACTAGAATGACGTTATAGCTTTTTTTAATTGGTGCAGATCCAGGTTCCATATGTATATTACAAACGGGTATATGATTGAGATTAAATTTATGTAAATAAAATCGATTTACATAAATTTGTCCCATTGTACACAAACGACTCTAAACATGCCCGACTCTAAACATGGAATGAAATTTAGCAAAGGTTCCAGATCACATTTTCATGTTTGTTAAATGTCATGTCAATGTTCTTTCGAAAAGGGGATTCTGTTAGAAGACATGGGTGGAATATACCCAAAGAGGTGAAGGGTATCATATGGTCGGCCCAGCCCTACATTACTTACTGGTATTTTTTGTGGCGTTGTGCTCTTAAACATGATAAAATATATATCGTAAAATGTTCTGTAAATTTTTCTAGAAAATGGACTTAAACCACTTTCAAAATAAGCGGCACTTATTCTCCAATTCCAATTTTTAAGAGAAGACCTCAACGACTTTCAGTATATGACTTTTTCTTTAGTAACTTTTGTCAGTTATTTTTCTACGAAAGTTGTATATATATATATATATAATGAATTATAAACCATACTAAGAAAAAACATAGTTGAAGGCAATAGCTTTTCGTATGCAATTATTTTCCTTGTGTTATACTTCAATATAAGATAATTTTGACAGACAATTTGTTATTGTCTGCAAAACAAAAATTAAAAATATAAATAAAACATATACCGAAAAAAAACAACAATCCATGCACATTTGCATTGTATACAAATAAAGTTCTATACCCTGAAATAGTCTATATGAACAAATATATTTATAAGAGATTATACTGTACAAGACCCTTCAAGTTAATGTAGTTGTGGTAGAGACAAGCACAATATTATGATGGTATATCACAATAATAAACTATAACAATATTGTTAAAATTTAACAATCATAATAAATAATGAAATAATATGCTAACAATGGATATCAGTGGCGCTGCAGCCAGCCAGCAGTCACTTCCAGTGTACGGGACAACAACAACCACAGCAAATACAATATTAATAACAACAGTATTGACGAGGCAACAACTTGAAAGTTATAAGTAAACCAAAAGAAAAAAATAAATAAAATACATATTTTGGGCAAAACCTTATGTAACATCATAAGGCTATACATATGTACATTTATATATAGTCGTTCTACAATGCCTGCATAATACAAAATGACGAGTAATAGTAGTACAGCAGCAGGAGTACACTTACCGTTAAGACTTAAACTATCATATTGCTCTGTTTGTAGTGGCTCTCGATAGATAATCGGATCACTGCCACTGAAATCAGCCACGGTGCCCGAATACAATTCATTATCTGCAAGAAAGAAGAAGAAGAAAAAAAAAACGAACACAAAGGATATGGTTAGTTGAGTGTAAAGATACAATATTTGTTATTTGGTTTATTTCATATCAAAATAAAAAAAGAAAAATACAACAACAATAATAAAAGAAACAACTATAAGGTTGAGTATTATTTTTGTTTGCCAATGTACAAGAAGTTTTTGTTATTATACCAAACCGAATGATTGAAGTATAAAATTTGTATCTTATTGATTTTTATCTTTACACATCACGTTTTGAGTGCTACTAACAAGAAATGGTGGTGGTAGCTGACAGCAGCACAACCATGAGCACATTAAGAGCCCAAGGATAGATCGACATCGATATATAAAATAAATAAAATCAAAATGGTTAAGATGGGATTATGTTAAAGTAAAGTAAACATAAAGCGCAAAAGGAAAATTCCGTTTATTGATATGGCGATGATAACAAGTAAGTAGTAGTAGAAAAGACATAGGATTTTCTATCCACTTGGAGAAAAAAGAAAGTATATGCAGTAGAGGTTGGTATTATATCGGGATAATGTTGAGTCGACAAGACTTAGGTATAGTTATCCAATTATAAGCATTTGGATTTTGAAGCGTAATAAATCAAGTGAAGAACGGTTATTCGATTTTACAAATATATTTACTAATTTTGAAACATTTTGAATGTGTCGAATCCGTCACACATGATGACATGGTGGGAAATTTTTAATATTTTTGATAGCATTAAATTACTCAGGATATGATGTACTTAGTTACAAAGTTCATAAGAAATGAATGGCTCGATTTTGACAGGAAAACCAAAACATAATCATTGGAATGAAACATCAGGCATTAGCAAAGTCTGAACAATCACAAGTCTACTATGGTCGAATATAGGTTTTAAAATTTTGATCGTTAACATTATGTGTGAAATACTTCATCATTTAAAAGGCTTCCACGCCAACTTTTGCAAGCATTGATTCTTTTTGAGGTAATATTAGGTAAACTCAGCATTAACTTGAAGAAAATTTGTTTATCTGCACAAACACAGCCTTTCGCGTAGCCTTATATAAAGTCAGTTGATATTGCCACATCGAAAAATTCCGCGGTCAGGAAATGTCTCTTGTAATAAAGCCACATTCGCTCGAGTTATGTGGCACCGTCTAGCTCTCCAAGTCATATTCTTCAATAGCAGGCAAAAAAAGTTGCTTATCACATGACCATAACGATTTCGAAGAAGTAAGGTCCAAACACACATTCGAGCCAAATAGTGTATTTTCCTGGATGTAATGACCTCTCTTCAATTACTTGATCCTGAGTACGTGAGTTCTTCTCCCTACCAAAAATAATCTATATTGGCCCACTTTCATATCCCCAACAAATTGTATCCCGAAGTTTTCTATATTTTGCAATACTTTCAATATTGCTAATAGGATGAATAATATTTCTAATAGGATAGATAATATCCCGAATAAAATCTATAAACATTGATCCAGCGCTATATTTAGCGTTGATATGACAGCTTTCCGTATTTTGAGATCCACACGCATTCTGAATTTTTAAAATTTGTTATGAAACATTTTTATTTTTAAATATAACAATTTCCAAAATTAACCAAAAAAGTGGCCAGTGGGTTAATTAAATATATGCATAACATAAACCCAATATTTTTCAGTGTTTATTACGCACAATCATGTCTGCATTTTTTTTACAAATGTTACAACAACAAAAATTTTTACATTGCATTATTTAGTAGTTATTTTATATTCAGTATTATTTCTCCCTGCACACCACACACCATCCCCTACCCGGGTAAATAAACTTCGCTAAGTATATTGATTTAATTTTTTTTGTTATTTTATTTACACTATACAAATGTATATATGTATATGAGTACATAAATACAATACAATTGAAAAGAATCACTGGTCCAGGGCCAAGTTGTGAGAAGGCGCGTTTAATATAAATGAACGAAATGTGGAGGGGCCAAATAAAAAAAAAACGAATACGTAACGTAAATCTATCATTTCAAATACCAAGTCATGAATGTGCGGATTCCAACATACATATAAATAGAGAAAAAAAAACACACACATTTCAACATTTATTCAGTCGTAAGGATTTTCTTCATTGATTCCATGAAATTTATACCGTACTTAAGACATGGCAAATTGTAAAGAATTTTCTCCAAAATAAATTGTATTTGTCAGATAGTGAGTTAAGACCAAGCTGAGAAGAAGTACAGATAATAATAATGGCAAAGTGGAGGGTCTGTTTGTTTGTTTGTTTCCCATTTCTAGGATTTCTAAGTTGTTACAGTTGTTGGTGTTTAAATGCTCTACTTAGGGATTTAGAAGAAGAAATGTTTTTTTTTTCGATTGTTTATTTGTTATGTCACCTATATGGGGTGATGGGTAAATACATTTTGTCATTTGGTTTGCAGCAACTAGGAAGGGGATCACTCATATTGCAGTCTGTTTCTTCAAAACTACTGTTTATCTATATAAAGATGCACAATTATTTTTCGTCTGAAATAAAAAAAAAAGTTTGATACAAAACATAAAACAAATTCCCAAATGTCTATATTATGGCTGAATGTCTGATTGGGTTCTTGAAATACATGCAAATAATGTAGAATTCCATTAAAATAAAGGATTTGACTGATGACGCCTATTTCACTTCGGTGGGTTATTGTCTAAAGTTTCTCATATCGCAACGTGTGTCTGTTTCATGAGTTCTCTAGTCTAACCTCCTACTTTTTAGAAAATTAGGATTGGTCAACAGTTACGGTGAATGAGTGGACTATCGATAGATGATCTGGACAATGTTTAGTTTTAACAAAACAATGCTACGTGCAACACTAGCGACGAAACCAGTGGTCATTTACAGGAAAATTTTCCGAACCGTTTTATCCCCCTAAGAGAGTGATCACAACTGATCCCCGAGATCTTAGGATTTTACATCTTTGTGACCACTTCTGTTAGGGCAACGTAAAAGATAATGTCGATTCAGGACCACAAATACAGAATTCTTAAGTTCTTGGCAGCAAGCGAGAAGCGATACTACATGCTATAATAGTAAATGCTATTTCAATGCTATAATATGGCAGAGTGAGTGCTATAGAGAGCAAAGCGTGTTCTTTATTTACATCGACTGTTTCAGTTGGCTCAATATTGATTCAGATGAAGAATTTTTCATGTCGCAAAATACTTTCAACGTATTTTTTAAAAGAAAATTAACGAAATTAACGCAAAATACTTTCAACTTATTTTTTAAAAGAAAATTAACGAAATTAACAAAAGATTTCTGCATCGATTTCCATATTTTTTATTATTAATTTAAATTGAAAATTGCCATTTATTTAGAAAATTATTTATAATGGCTACAGTATAAAATTAAACTTAAAATATATTTTTCCAATGCCATATGGCTTACAATGAAGGAGACTACGAACTATTTTATATCTGGCGCCGGATTTGGAATGCTAGGCGAGTCTTTAAACAAACTAGTACTTATACATACTCTTCAAATTTTACGTGCCTTAAAAATTTAAAAAATAGGCCAAACTTAAATTAACTTAAAACTAAACTTACAGTTAAATTATATACTATTTATGGTTTATTGAGTTGTTCTATATACAGGCTGATGATAGTACATCAGACGGCCTTCTTCGTCGTAAAGGATTCCTCCGTCTCGCAGCTTCAGCAAAGCTGCAGGAAGGAGATGTTTCCTTCTAAGTATGGAGTGGAGTTCCTTGTTGCACTCCAGGCATCGCTCCACTATTCCATTTTCCACAAGCTGACTCCTTTACAAGAAGTTGAGGGCATATTTCATCATGCAGACATCGATTCGGTTGAAGTCGATTGAATTATAGATATTCCTATTGGCCGGACGTCTTTATATTCCATTGCCACCCAGTGTTGGTCTCATTCCTACGCATGATGTCAATATATTTCTCTCCCATATTCTAATCCTTTCCATCTGGGCAGACGAAATGTCTGCCCATGCTGCAAAGGAGTAGATGATGATGGGACGAATCACTTGCTTGTATAATAGCAACTTTACCTCCGAAGAAAGCCCTCCTCTCATTCGAAATGAGAAATCATTCTTTTTGGCCTTTGAAAGCACATAATCCACATGGCGACACAAGTCGAACCTTTCGTGCAGGATGATTCCAATGTATTTCATCCTGTCATCCTGGACTTTGGTTTGCCCTTGAAAACCACAGTTACACACTTTCCAACATTGAGTTTGAGTCCCCATTTGTTGAAATAGTTGTGAAGTGTTTCCATGTATACATTCAATCTTCTTTCCACAGTGCTCCGGTATGTCGCATACGTACAGGTTGTAAAGAACTGGTCCCAGCAGTGATCCCTGTGGCACCCCTGCTTTGACCATTCGCTGTTCAGACATTTTATCTTCCACTCTAACACGGAATACTCGATCTTTCAGAAAACTTACCACCATGCGACAAGTTTGAGCAAAAATCAAAAAAGCGAAAAAATGCAAAAGAACGATGCCAAAAACCGATCAATAACGGTAAATTAAAATAATAAACAAAGAAACTTCGACAGAGACAAAGGGAGTTCTTGTTATAAACCATTGCACAACACGTTATATCGCCGTATCGCTTGTAGCGTAGCATCCACTCTGACAGCTTTTGCGCTATATCATAAAAATAGAAACGTAGAGGTTTACATAGAATCGCTTCTAGCGCGCACTCTGACCATGACGTCATCATTATGGCTATTTGGCTGTTATATATTTTTTATTAATAACTCAAAAAATTTAAATTTTCAAACGAGCCGCACGTTGGGCGCCAATGTAACATGGGCAACTTTGGGTGTCAATAAAATGGCCCCACCTTGGGCGCCAATGTGACGTGGGCTACGTTGAAACGGTCATCGAAACGGCCTTGCTTCGGAGATTGTAGCAAAATAAAAAGAGGGAATTATGGATGTTAAAAATACAATTTATTATTCTGCGCAATCTTTTTAGATTGATACTA